AGTTTCTTCCAAAATCAGCTGAAAATGCCCTCCCATTCTTTAAACTTTTAAAGAAAGAAGCAACTGACGGATGGAACTCGGCATGTGAAGCCGCGTTTGAAAAGATTAAGAAATGTTTATCAACTCCACCGATCCTCTCAAAGCCAAACCCAGGAGATGTTCTGATTCTGTATTTGGCAATAGGGAAAGAAGCATTAAGCGTTGTACTGATCAAGGAAACTAACGAAGGCCAGGAGCCAATTTACTTTGTCAGCAGAGCCATACAACGTGCAGAGGTGAGGTATCAAAAGCTAGAGAAGGTGGCTTTTGCTTTGCTGGTCTCGGCTAGAAGGTTGCGACCATATTTCCAAGGCCATCAAATAATCGTAAGGACTAACAGCCTATTCGGCAGGTGTTGCACAAGCCGGACCTGGCAGGAAGAATGACTAACTGGGCAATAGAGCTCAGCGAATATGACATAACATATGAAAGTCGGAAAGCAATCAAAGCACAAGCCTTAGCTGACCTCAGCAATAAAGGCACTTTGAATGGTCAGCAGTGATTTTGGTCAGTTTGGCCGTGGTGTCATCATAGTTCTTTTTAAGCGCGGAGAGGTCCTCCTTCACCTTCAGCAGCTCCTCATATGTCTTGGCCTTCTCCTCCCGAGTTGCGGCAGCCTCACTCAACGTCCGCAGGTATTTCTGCTTCAGGATAAGCAACGGCCTGGCCAACCCAGCCATCTTCAAATAACACAACTCCAAATCTTCAACCTCCCTTACTTGGGCTGGGGTAAGAAGAGATGAGTTGTAGAAGACTTCGGGGGCGCATACCGCATCCCGGAGAGTATTGTTCGTTTTGCCCTGCCATACCATGTGCTTGGTCAATTTAGGCGCTGGAGGAGGAGGATGGGCTTTCATAGTTTGACTAGGGCCAGTGGAAGCTCGGATGTCAGAGTTCTTGGCTTTTTCTTTTGAAGTGGCTGCAGTGGGAGCATGGGCAGCTGAAACCTTGGCTTTACCCGGACCACCTTGAGAGGAGTCAGGGGCTTTCCTCTTCTTGCCGGACCCAACCTTGGCCTGGTTTAATGCGGCCAACCAGCTTGGATGATCATTTTGTTGGTTATCCATCAGAGGTACTAGAAATACAAACACAACAAGTTAGTGTTAAAGCAATACGGCTAATATGCAAATGCCAGGTTGCTAGAAATAGTTCATACTTAATTCAGTGTCGAGTTCATCTTTGGACTTGAATAGAAGGGATGCGACACTAGCATGCTTATGTGACAGCAGAAACTTGCCAATGGCAATGGCACTGTCGATATCAGATGAACCCAAATCGGTAACTTGAAAACGGTAGCTAGATGGAGGAAGCTGATAGTGGTCAGAAGACCAATGCAAAGGGAGTTTTCCCTCGCCACTCTCGGCATGAGAAGTGTCAACAAACCAGACACTCTTGTCGGGATGGGCGGAAACTTTAAAGAATTTGTCCTTGAAATTTTTAAAGGACTCAGTATAAACTTGAAAATTTTTACAGTGGGGTAAACCTCGAAGGGTAACCCACCCTTTTCGGCTGGCGGGTTCACGACCGGTCCGAGGAGTTAATACTTGAAAAAAGAAGAAGAATACACAGACAGAAGCTGGAATAGAAAAGTATGAGCAGAAACGCTCAAAGGCTTTGGCAAAACCCCACCCCATTAAGATGAAGTTGTGTGGGAGCTATTTGAAGGTGGTTCAAAAGATCAATTTGAAAATCCGTCAAAGGGAAACGGACGCCGAGTTGAGTCACAACATCTCGAAAAAAGAAAAAGAAATGCGGCTCTCCTGGCCTCCCACTGGAGCAGACGGGTTCGTCTTTTCTAGGGGATTATATCACAATTCACTAAATCCCCCACTGGAAGGGCGACAAAGTCATCCAAAGTCATCTCCGAAACGGTACTCAAAACCTCGTGTGTCATCCAGGGAAATTGGGTTACTAAAGAAGACGAGGGAGATGGGGAACACGACTCAGTAGAACTCGACTCTCCTACTACGTCTGAGGGAGGAGATGCCATAATACCTAGAAACAAGGAAAGGTAGGAATTAGGAAAGAATCAGAATACCTGAATCACAAACGCTATCAGAAAAATCACTAGATGATGATGATGATGATGATGACAAATCAGAAATTGTAATGAGATCATCTGCTCTTCCTGATGGGCGAAGGGATTTATCTCCATGCTGGCAAGTCGCCAACGTGGAATCGACTAAAGAATGACAACCTTGGTCAGCAAGCTTGCCACTCAAATAAATGCAGGAATAACATGGGCCACTGCCCGAGATAGAAGAACGCGACAAACCTCTACTTGACATCCCGGACACACATCGAGACTTGCCACCACAGCAAGCTCGTAGCATAGCTTCCCACTATTCTCCTTCGGTCTTAAGGATTTCCCAAAGCCAGAAACGAACACCATGGGAAAGACTTTTCAAAAATCAGACAAAGAGCTAAAGAAAGAGAATTTTTTCCCGTTCGGTCAAGAAAAAGGCTAAGTATCAAGTGCAAAAGGAAGGTAAACAAGACGACATGGCGCTAATCACCAGAACAACAAATTCTGAAGGAAAAAAAGTGCTAAGTGTCAACAGGAAGTTCGCAGATATGCAAGCTATCTACAGATTCTAGAAAAAAGGCCAGAAAGCAAAGAAGAAAATATGCAACTTCACAGTTATAATATTGAAAAACAAATGCCAAAATGCAGAATCTTCGAATAGAAGCAATAAAAAGGAGATAATGTGGACATACCTCTTGAAGTAATGAAACTGAAGTGTCAAAATGCAGACGAAGAAAGGCTGGTGTGCAACAATCAGAAAGCACGCAGACACAAACAATGGAATAATGCTGATGCCCAATGCTCAGAAGTAAAACGAAACCATGTAAGAGGAAAAGATGACTTATATAGGCAAGACCAAGACCACTGAGTGGCGCATAGCAGAGGTCAAGGCTATTTAGGTCCTTTTGCCCTCAAATCATAACTGTCAGATCGTGGGTGGAAACCGCAATCATTATGCGCGGAAACCACAACACGGAGAAGGCTAAGGGGCAGGGGCAAAATTGCCAATTCACTCCATAAAGCAATGATCAGACAGCTGAAACGATGCTGCAATAAATGCGCACGAAACGCAACGACGACATAAGAACGGCTGCAACACGCTAAAGCACGCGGGCTGGAACACGTGGCATAACACAATGAGTATAATTCAAAAACCTACATATGAGACAAGGTGTATAAGAACATACAGCTGTTCACCGAGTTCGAAGCTGACGCTGGGGTAATAGTCAACTAACGGTTATTCCAGCACAGCTTCTACCCGGTTACACAACGAAATCTTAGACGGGTTCTTCAACAACCCGTCCAAGGAAGCAACAGGCATACATGCATGCCCCAGTAACCCGGGTAAAATGCCGATGTTGGGAGCAGTTCAAGCAGTCGAATCGCAACTCTTCAAACGAGTCCTCTGCCCGACTACTTCGTGAATCGCCGACGGGATCATGCACAACCCGTCGACCAAATAAATATGCAGATACAGTTCGAGATGAGGAATACCGCTTGGGGGCAACCCGCAAGTGGGATTAAAACAACTCAAGCGTATTCCTAACTCGGAGTAGCAATATGGTTGATGCTCAACCAGCAAGGCAATACGAGGGAAATGACGCTGCACATAACGAAGGCCAAGAACTCGAAAGCAACACGTATGCCGACATTAGGAGGCAACCCGACAGCTCGAGATTGTACCCGACCCAAACAGTGGGGTACGCAAAATATCTCACCGGGTTGATGCTCAACCCGTCGACATAAGGGGGCAAGGGACATCCCGCGAGGAAAAAATTCCCTCATAAGCAGAACATGCAAATTTACAACAAACGTAAAGCCATTAAGGGGCACAAACCTGGAAGGCACACATAAGTTCACCCCGACTACCCGGACACCCCGGTAGCCGAGCTGAGGGGCAACTGTTATGGACCCGTATAATGGACCCATTAAGTAGCAAGCCCAACAAGGGGCAATTCAAGATATGAATTGATGCTAATAAATGATAGATATCCATCAAGGATACTAATCCTAGTAAGACAACATAGTTATCAGGCCTGGACCCTCACCGTAAGAACCAAAGGCCCATCCACACTACCCTCAGGTAACCTCTATAAATACAAAGGTAAACCCTAAAGGTACGTACGCTCTCTCTCTTACTGTTATGCTGTCACTGTGCGCACACACACCCCATTGGCTAACGCTGTTATAGTATTCTGTGCATAGTGATCTGCTTGACTCAAGGGTATCTCCTTTATAGATACCTTAGAGAGGGCACTAGATCCAATATCAACATACTAGCCTATTGGGCTAGACATCTCTGTCTTAAGGACAGACCAAGAAGTAATTAACACACATACACACATATATATATATATATATATTTATATGGAAAATCATTTTCTCATGTAATTGGAGATTACCTTATCCTGTTGTGAGTATCAAAATCCGTGCTATCCTCTTTTAATTTTTTTTTTAACAAGTAGCAGACTCTATCACTTATTGTATCTATGGTATAAGAGATGTTACTTTATGTGAAATGAGAAAAGAGAAATCCTATATATATATATATATTATTTTGCTCCAAAACGAATATATTGACTAAATTTTCAAAATAAATATGTATAATTAGAATGCTCCTGTCCTGAGTTGTGAATTCTCAGGGGAAAAAAGAAGAATAAAAATAAAAATATTTGTAAGCGTCATCATCAATCATCATGGGACCCGGATGTTCAGATGCTAATATTAGTTCAACCAACTAATTAAGCTTCTCTACAATCTAATGTTTTATTTTTATTTTTATTTTTTATTTTTTTCAACCAAATATTATAACTTTTGTTATTGCTTTGTCGTATCCGAATGTAAGGCATCCACCCAACCCAACAGTGGAAGAACAAAAACGAATAAAAGATTAAGCTCAGATTCTCACAGAGAGAGAGAGAGAGAGAGAGAGGGAGAGGGAGAGTGGGGTAAGGTTTAACAGAAAAATCCGTTGGTCCGAGGAGCGTGTACATATAAATCAGTCCTTCGAAACTAGAACAAAGAAAGTTGTAAAATAAAACATGGTGATGTTTTTGGGTTTGGGTTCAAGTAATTATAATAACCGAATGTGGTGGGCTTCATCATCCCTATCCTATGTTTTCAAAAGTTATCCGATCATGAGTGAAAGAGATATCCTATTCCTTTTATTTTATAACAATAAATTTTATCATTTTCATCCTCTTATTCTATTTTTCCTTTTCAGATTTATTGTTTTGTCAAAAGGTTAATCTAATTACAATCGTACATACGGTTTATCGCAGGCGCAATAAGTCAATAACAACAACGTGGGAGGGTTTTTAATGTTGCTATTGAAATCGTAACATTTTATTTGTTTGGTTACTTTGACTGACCCAATTGGTTGTGGTGTGGAGGGTTAGAACTTAGAATGTGTTTTGGACTGTGCCAAGACACAAAAAGGTCTCCGTGATATATATATATTTTTTCATTTAACACGCTTTTTATCTTTATTATCAATATTTTTTTCGAATTTTAAATGGGTTTTTGGTTTGGTGGATGATAGAGCGATTTCAGAGGTTTATTTGTTCTAATGTTGGTCATACTTTAGGGTTCCTCAATTTTCTTTCTTCCTTGTTTTTGGGCATTGTTTCCATTGAGGGGGCGTGAATTTTCCTTTTGATTTCTCGCCAAGTTGTGGATTTTACCTGGTTTAGACCATTCGGGTCGCTGATTCTCGCCTCACTTTGATCTGGGTCGCTGCCTTTTCACGTTTCTGTTGTTATTCCCGATTCCTGGGTTGGCAGAGGGACAAAGGCGAAAACTTTCATTCTTATCTTCTTTCTGGCTGGATTTGTAATCTTGGAGAGTTGTTTGGGTGTCCTCTGGATTTTGATTTTGATAGTAGAAGTGTCGTTAGCGGCATTGGGTTGGGGGTGGGAAGATAGGCTAGTGAGGAGAGCAGGAGCTATTACAGTAGTGTGCTCTCAGTTGTTAGAATTGGTGTTACTGTCATTTTTTTCTGGAACATATCTGGAAAAGTTTGGTTCTGTCATGCATACATGATGTTCCATTCTCAGGGTACATCAAGACATTGTAGTCTCCTTGCTGTCCTGAGTGGAAAATCATGTGACAAAAAGCAAAAGCAGAAGCAAGGTGACGATGCTTCTGAGGACCAATCCCCATACCCCTTTCCAGAGCTTTCTTCCTCTGGGCGTCTTGAGGTGACCATTAAGTTTCCATTGGTGTAAATTTTTATCTTGTTTTTTTTTGTTTTTTTGTTTTTGTTGGCTTTTAAGAAAAATTCTATCTGAAGTGTTATTTTAACCTTGTATGTGAGTTCAGGTGAAAGTATTGACCAAACCTACGGCTGATGAACTCGGTCGCGTTCTTGAACAACTGCAGCCGGATTTTGTTTATCTGCAAGGGGAGCAGATAGAAGATAAGGGAGAAATTGGGTCTCTTGTATTGGAAGATTTTGACCTGTCTATCCCAGAAGCCTTATGTGGATTATTTTCTTCCAAATTACCTAATACTGTGAGTTTTATGTAGTTAATTTTCTTTCTGAGGGTTGGACGTGGATAATATAATATTTGATGACTGACTTCATGATGTTTTTGCAGGTTTATTTGGAAACTCCTGGGGGAGAAAAATTGGCAGAGGCACTCCATTTTAAGGTCACATTGATAGCAAGTAATCTATATTTTCTAAATAAAAGTTAGATACGAAAACTAAGATGTGCTGGCTTAAAGTAATTAATGTGGTGGTTAAACTAGGGTGTTTAATGGGGACTACAAGATGTGACAATACAAGATATGGTTTTTATGTTCCTTTACTAATGGAAAGTAATTAAATTAAGGTCATTTGTTTGGCAGGGAGTTCCATATACTATCTATTGGAAAAATGAGATTTCAAAGTACGCAGCTTCACATTTTCATCAAGCCTTTTTCTCAGTGGCACAGAGGTATAGTCATCTACCATCTCAGCTGTCATGCTTTTAGTATATCACTGTTCCTGATTGTGCTTCTGTTCTTTCTTGGGTAGCAATGTGTTGAGTGACTGTTACCGCACTTACTGATTAACTTCTGCTTCCACCTATGAAGCAATGGCATGATAAGTTTTGACAACAAAATGTTTCACTATTGCTGTATTTTGGTCTGTGTATTGCATTTTGCAAGTTTCAGCAATTAGGTGTAGTTTGTTAGGTTTCTTTTATTTACTTAAGGAATGGTTAGAAGTTTCTTGTTTAACTAAATTATATGCCTTTATCTCAGGTGATATTTTGTTTTTGATGATTGATATTATGCATTACAGTACATCCAGCCATACATGGGATGCTTTCCAGCTTGCTCTTGCATCTTTTAGACTATACTGTGTACAAAACAATGTCTTACCTTCTAACAGCCAGAAGGGTGGTGATAAGCTTGGGCCACAAATTCTTGGGGACCCTCCCAACATTGATGTTAGTCCATGTGAAGCAGACATGAAGGAAGAGGAAAGTTCACCTGGGTCTATTTCTGCTGTAAAGATATATGATGATGATGTGAACATGAGATTTCTTGTTTGTGGAGTTCCCTGCACATTGGTAGGCCTAGATAACTTGATTATTTTTCAAGAAGTTTGTTATTGCTAATAGTTCTTCCCATATAACCTACCTGTTATAAACTGATTCAATTTCTTCTCCTCTCTCTCCTCCAAAAAGGATGCTTGTTTATTGGGGTCATTAGAGGATGGACTCAGTGCGCTCCTATGCACAGAAGTAAGTTTGTTGCATATGTTTGTTTGCAGTTCTTGGTTTATCTGCTGTTGCTTTTGGGTGCTAGATAATCCCTTTTTTTGTGTAGAAAATTGCTATTTGCCAAATAACTTGTAATATGTGACCCTTTAAACGATTCACTGTAAATATTATAGGCTAGTTTGTGGTGAAATTTGCACGCTTTCCCTTAATCAGAAGCGTTTTATTGAATTTGGCTTTAAAGATAGTTTTATCTGAAATATAAAGTGATACTGTCCTTTTTTTGAAGAAAATAGTTTCTTATTGTATTTTTCACCATGTTGAGACATTGTAAGCTACTTAATGCTCGAGGCATTTGCATGGATTAGTTCAGAACAAGTTCCACGACCATTCTTATCTTGTATGGGGTCTGGTTACACCATTAACTAACCCAAACTAACTGTCATCCAAAACCAAGATTACCAAGTCTAAGTGCTGCTGAAAGATGCAATGGTATTTTCTTAAATCACTGGCATAATGAAAAGATGGTCTCTTCACTCATAATTTAGTGACTGTTTATTTAAGTGTTTCATTGAAATTTTCTTTTAATTACTCATGTATATTTTCCTGTTTTTACTCTGGCTTTTCTGCAGATACGTGGATGTAAACTTAACAACCGGACAAGGTATTTGATGGTTTTGAGAGTTGATACATGTGTATGATTTAGTATTCAGTGAATGATGTCATTTTTGGTTGACTATGGTTTTATTGGTGACTGTCAAACACATCCACACATACACTTATTTTTAGGAGTTTTAATCTTTTAGTTTTCGACTGTTATGAGTTTTTTTTTTGTCTTTTGCTTTGCATCTTATTCTGTTTGTTAATTTCTTTTACTGTTGTATATTTTATAGTGCTCCACCACCACCTCTCCAGGCCGGAACATTCTCACGTGGTGTGGTGACCATGCGTTGTGATATATCCACATGTAGTTCTGCTCATATATCACTTTTGGTGTCTGGTAGTGCAGATACTTGTTTTAATGATCAGGCACGGGTGAATTGTGTTGTCAGTGTTTGACTTTTCACATATGTGCTCTTTAAACTTTTTACTTACCAATCACTCATTTTCTCTCCCTCTTTCTTTTTGGGTATATCCTCAGCTTTTGGAGAATCATATTAAAAAGGAGCTCATTGAGAACAGTCAACTTGTCCAGGCATTTCCTAATCATGAACAAAGCAAATTACCTTCCACCGAACCACGAAGATCTGCCTCAGTAGCATGTGGATCTAGTGTGTTTGAAGTTTGTATGCGAGTTCCTACATGGGCTTCACAGGTTAAGTGTTGTTTCTTAAGGTTTCTTCTGTTAGTTATAGCTTTCTAAAACATAATTTTGTGGCCCTTAAAAAATTGTTTTTGATCAAACAATGGTTTAGATGGAAGTTCTTGCTTCTGTTTGTTAACATAATGACTTAGTTACTTGAATGGACCTGGTGTTTAAATGAGAAAAAGATGAATGCATTTGTAAGATGCTATACTGGCATTTAGTGAATAAAGTATGTAGTACACTGCAAAAATGAATAATTCCATTTCATTGATTGGTGAGAATATTAAGTAATGCTAGCAGAGGGATGACAGGACTTCTTTACTGCTTTACTGCATGTATATGTTGATAATTGCACTTTGTTTATATCACCTCAGCATGATTGGTGATCCTTTATTTCCAGCATAAAGTTGCATGAAATGTTGTCTTAAACTTTACATCTGAAACTGTCATACTGTGGTTGAGCAAATGCTTCAATACAGACATAATTTCTGTCTGGAAACTATTGAAGAGCAGAAATTGTTTGAATGAGATCTTTTACTTATTTCCGGTATGTACATAAAATTGAAAATAGCGTATAAGAAAAAAAAATTCTTAATAATAATCAAGTCCTAGAGGGCATGCAACCTATGTGCCAAGCTTAGTGAAGATTGCACTTAGTCCAGTTTCTTGGCTTATTCAGACTTTAAAGAGTGTAATTGGGACTGTTTATGGGCAGCTAAAGATATTTGTGACATCTGCTTGCTGTTATATTTATAGTTGACTGTTGTCAGAATTCTAGTCTGATTGTTAGGCCTATAATATAAGTTTGTCATTTTCCTGATTGTTCTGTTTTGTGTGGGTACATATGAAAATAACCTCCACATTGAATTCACTTGATCTTTTAGGAAATTGTAAGTTTTAATGACATGAGCCTTTTTTTTTTAAATCATATTTTTTAAAAAATAATAATAATATAAGACCTTTTCTTTTGAATTATGGCTTTTTGGTATTTGTTCACAGGTTCTGAGGCAGCTTGCACCAAATGTATCATACCGCAGCCTAGTTATGTTGGGAGTTGCCAGTGTACAAGGATTACCAGTTGCATCTTTTAATAAAGATGATGCTGAACGTCTCCTTTTCTTTTGTAGTAGGCAGGAGAAAGAAAACTCTACTAACGATCCTGTTTTCTCTGGGTATCCTAGCTGGCTGATGCCTCCAGCACCTAGTCGAAAAAGATCCGAGCCATGCTCCAGAACTAAGTCTATTAATGCTAATGGTGTGGAAGTTGAAAATATTGGCAATAATAGACAGAAATTTAATATTGCTACTATGAGGCCAATCCCTCATGCTCATCGTCACAAGATTCTTCCTTTTTCTGGATTGTCTCAAGGTGAAAGATATGATGGAGAACATGGAAAATCAAATCAGCTACTTCCTCCTATTAAGCATAATGTTTTAGGCCCTAATTCAGTTACACATAAGAAATCTGTGTCAAACTCATTTCAAGCTCACCAGATTATTTCTTTGAATCCACTACCTATGAAAAAGCATGGTTGTGACAGAGCTCCAATACGAGTTTGCTCAGAGGTGGTTTCCACTTATTCTTTCGTTGACCTTTTGCTACCATTGATGTCATACCATGTTTGACCCTAACCACTGTCAGATATTTTTGATTCAGTTTATGTCAAATCTAAATCCAAGTTTCTCTTTTATTGTTTCTCAGGAGGAATTCCTGAGGGATGTAATGCAGTTTCTGATCCTTCGAGGGCATACTCGTCTAATTCCGCAAGGTGGGCTTGCCGAGTTCCCTGATGCCATTCTAAATGCAAAACGCCTTGACCTTTTCAACTTGTATAGAGAGGTATTGCATTTGAATTTGTAAAGCTAACTGTGTACTGCATAGTAGTGTAGAAACTGTAACTTAGAAAATTAAGCATTTCAGGTGGTTTCAAGAGGAGGCTTTCATGTTGGGAATGGTATCAATTGGAAAGGACAAGTTTTCTCCAAGATGAGCAATCACACTCTGACAAATAGAATGACCGTATGAATACTTATTTTATTTTTGTTTGTCCCTTAATGAGACATTTACATGCAGTATATGCATATGTATAGGCTGACATCATTTTAATAAAATTGGCCTAGAATTTTACTTTAGAAAGTACACTTCATTCCCCTCTTGCTAGATAATTATACATTTTAAATTCTGTAGGAATGAACTATTTCTTATCAGGCATCTTGCACTTTTTCTTGAGATGAATGTGGGTTCTTGTCAAATCAATGTTTCTAGTATAGTATCTTTTTGTTCATATGATGAAGCATCCAGTTCTTTATTTTAGTTGACAGCTACAGTATGGTATGCACTGCTTTCTTTTAATAAAAAAACTTGTTTGGGAAACTACTGTATGGTGTGCTCTGTTTTTTCATTTTATTTCTCAAGCATTAGGAGTTTGTGTTTTTATTGTCACATTTCCCTCTTTCATTCTGCTTTTTGCAATTAAGTCTCCCAAAACTTGCTGGGGAGTTATCTGGGAGCTGCTTTATTTTTTCTATGGTGCTAATTTTACTAATTTCCATTGGCAAGATAACAAAAGCTGATTTCCTGGTTGTGATTTATCTTAAGAATCTGGTGATTCCTGAATTGCAATTATTGTAGTGCAGTAATATGAGTACCATCGTTAGTATCAAAACTCTTTGCAAATGCTGACAGACTTTGTGTGTCTAAGAAACAAATACTCATTGTTCTATAATTACCTAAAACGCAAGTTGCATGATCCATTGTCAGCTTTGGCAGGGCAATTGAACCTCAATAGTGCCTTGTGATTCCTGTCTTTTTCTTCAGAAATAGTATTAGGTTTTTTTGAATTGCATGTTATACAAAGTGGAAAAATAATAATACACTGTAGACAATTTTCTGTTTATTTTTTTGAGCTTTATGGTTAAATTGAAGGAAACAACATTCTCCTTTGGGAAAAGTTTGTCCTTTTAAATGATACAACTTGTGTCATTTCATTCTCACAAGGAGATGAGACCCACACTTTTTTTTTTGTCCACTCTCTCTCTTCTATTATCTATCTCTTTCTATCACTTAAAATGACACTACTTTACATCCTTTTAAATGATACACACTTTTCTCCTCTCCTTTTAGTTGTATTTTGCAAATGCCAACTTTCTTAGTTTTGGAACTTCAGAATATATATATATATATATATATATATATATATATATATATATATATATATAATCTTCGAGGTATTAATAATTTCTTTTTTTATCAGGGTGTTGGCAATACACTCAAAAGACATTACGAAACTTATCTTTTAGAATATGAATTAGCTCACGATGACGTAGATGGAGAGTGCTGCTTATTGTGTCACAGGTCTCTCTCTCTCTCTCTCTATATATATATATTTATATATGGCCATATTCTGTCTTATTGACTACTATTTACATTTCATGTGGGGGCAACAGTAGTGCAGCAGGTGACTGGGTGAACTGTGGTATATGTGGTGAGTGGGCTCACTTTGGCTGTGATAGGAGGCAGGGACTTGGAGCATTTAAGGTATTACTAAATTTTGACTTCAGTGGAATGCCTGCTTAAACTAATGTGTAAATAATTGCATGGTTAGTAAAAGTCCTTCAATGAAAGATATTGATGTAGGTTAGTCTTTTCGTGATGTGATAGTTTTTATTGCTCTTTGGAGTGGTTGATAAAATTGCAAGTGAGCAAGTTGCCTTGTTTAAGCATGAAGCTAGTCAATCCTGACCTGCTTCTTACGGGCAATGCCGTCTTCTTAATAATTTTTGGTGGGATTTTTTCAATCTAGCTGTGGTACATTGACAATATCTGGTCAAGTTGCAACAAAATGGTTGGAGTTTGGATCTTGCTTGTGACTTTTATGTTTGATGCATTACTATCAGCAACTGCGCTTGTGTTTCTTTTAGATGAAACTGATAAAAACCACTCCTCATTTAACCCCGACTATCGAGGGTAGTGTTGTGCAATCCTTGTACGCAGTCTTATTCTTGTATATATACAAAGAGACTGCTTTCCTAGATTAAAAGCAATGAATAAATTGAAATCCATTTCCTAGTGATATTCTGCACATAACTACGAATTGTTAACTAAAATAGGGAAATTAATTCCCTAGTCCCTCTCTCTCTGGCGGTGCATTGGACCGAGAGCACTACGTATTTGCTACTAAAATAGACGCACAGAGAACATAAGATGAAAAATTTTTCTTTGTTGTTTTTGACGTCTGTATGATGAATGGCAGGACTATGCAAAAACTGATGGGCTGGAGTACGTTTGTCCTCACTGCAGCATATCAAATTTCAGTAAAAAATCCCATAAAACTGCAAATGGTTATTAACAGGTCAAGCGATGCTGTCTCTTTCCCAGAGAAAATAAATGTACATGGCAAGTGTTGACAAATTTACTTACACATCCTTCTTCTGTGCTTGGACTCTAATGTCTCTCATTTGGTAAGGGTAGGTTCTAAGGAGTGTGATTATTTCACTTATGTTAATGCTTTGGAGTTTTGACATATCATAGTCACAAAAAGGGTCGTCAAAGTTTTCTAGCTTCACTAATATATATACTCAGAAAGAAATCCAGGAAAAAGATTCGTAGAATGAATGATTTCCCTCAAACTTAATTAGTTTACTTCTCAAGAGGCAGAGATTGTAATATATTCCATATTGCTAGTAATGTAAGTCATTAGTTTTCAGCTTCTATATTTCTAACGCCATACTTGTATAGTTTTGACTTTGACCGAGTACTTTGCATGCTGTGTTCATTGCACGCATTTATATGTTTGTAACTGTGCGGGTGAGTTCCACTATTGTCAGATGAATGTGGCGTTCTTGTGTAGATTTATAAACAAAGGAAGAGTCAAGAGTCAATATGTAAATATCAGTAGTCACAAACCCCAACGTTTTTGGAGCTCTGCAACCACTATAAGCTGTTACTATTATAGATTAAAAAAAGGGAAAATGAAAGATGTAATAATGTAAAATGGCTCATTAAGATGGGATACAGTAGGATTTTTAGCCTATAGGAGCTTTGTAAGAGTGCGTTACAGGGTCTAATTGAGGATCACATTTGTGGGGAAAACGAAAAAATTTATTATCCTCATGTTGGAATTATAGTTGTTAAAATCTTGATTTATAATTATGATCTTATATTTTTATAATTTGTTTTCATCAAAATGATTTTATCAATATTCTAAACGTTTTTATGTTTTTATGATTTTTTTGCATCATTCTTATTTTACTTAAAATCTCGATTTTAACACTCTTAGTTGAAATGGTAAAAATGCTTATCATTCACTAAATGCTAAGTGTTTACTGGTTTAATTTTTAATTTTTTAAAGAATAGCTTGTGCAGAGGAGGATCTTTTGACACCAGTGTTAAATTTAAAATTTGACACCTCATCTGATAGCCACACACACACACACACACACACACACACACACACAGGGGTGTTCGCGGTCTGGATTGGATCGGTTTTGGAAGCAAAACTCACCCGATCCAATCCCTTCGGTTTGATCATGTAATCATCCATTCGGTTTAATTTTTTTTTCAAATCCGATCCGATCCAATCCAATTTTTTTCGGTTTGGATCGGATCGGTTTTCGGTTTTTTGAATATCCTAAAATTAGTTTCATGATTCTTGTGCAAATAACATCTTTTGTATATATTGGCTTTGTAAAAAAAAAATTGAAATACAAAAATATCAGTAAACAATACTATAGTTGATGAGACGTGACTAAGTTTTTTTGTGTGTTTAGTTGATGAGTTAATGGGTCTTGAGTTTAGAAATTTTTGAGCTATGATTGGAGAAAGGACAAGTAGGTAGAGAATAATTAATATATTGGATCGGTTTGGATTGGATCGATTTTCATCAACCCATCCGAAAACCGATCCAATCCAATTAAAATTTGCGGTTTTCTTTTGGTTTCCGATTTTTCGGTTTTCGGTTTATTCGGTTATCGGTTTTTCGGTTCGGTTTTTGCGGTTTGAATCGGTTTGGATCGGTTGATGAACACCCCTACACACATATATATATATATATATGTATATATATATGACTTATCGTTTCTCAAGCTGTTTGAGATAATTTTATCTCTGACTATTAAATCATAATCGTACAAAAATGGATCAATTGTGATAAAGGAAGAGAGAGAAAAAGGGAATCATAACTATTCAGAGGTGAATCAATTAATATAAAGAAATAAATAAACAAAACGACGTAGTTTTGGGGTAGCCGGAGATAAACTTATCTCAAGTTACCGGAGAAATATTTTTTCCATATATATATATTGGTTAGAATTCTTTGACACCAGTGTCAAATTTTAAATTTTGACACTAAATTATAATCGTTTTTCATCAATCAACGATTATCATTTATTGGAAATTAATAATTAATTAATGAATTTGATTGGTTGAAATTATAACTGTTGATTGGCGAAAATCGATGGTTAAAATTTGGTGCTATATTTCAAAGTTTGACACCGGTGTCAAAGGATCCTGCCTATTTATATATATATATCATGATCATTTTACACTGGTGTAAGACTAATAAATCTATGTTAAATGGGAAACCCTAGCGCCGCAACCTTATCTGAGATTTTGACGGAGCTTTCTTTGGTGGAAGCTTACAATCTTAAGAGGAGTACAAAAAAATACAAAGGAAGAGATGCTGATTTTAGTTACGATCAGACCATGGCTCCTAGAGAAGAAGCATGGATGGAAGAAATGATGTCTTTTAAGGAAATGTTAATGAGATATAATGGAGAATGGGAGATGCAAGAAGATTACGAGGAAAAAGTATCTGAAGCAGAGGAGGAAGATCTTCAGGAAACTCAAGCGGGCTTAATTGTAGTATCGAAATCCTCAGAGGTCCTTTGTCAAATAGATGAAGATCGTAGAACCAATTTCAGATTGTCAGATGCCTTTAAGAAGCGTGCATGGAGGCCATGGAAGAAGGCGATTTATGTGAAATTATTAGGGAAGAAGCTGGCGCTTCCAGTCATGAAGAAGAGGCTTGAAAATATGTGGGCTAGGGAGGGACAAATTTTTGTCACTAATGTGGAGAATGGTTTCTTCTTAGTGAGGTTATAAAAAAAAAAAGATCTGAACTTTTCTCTCATTGCAGGGCTTTGGGTCTTATTTGACCACTATTTAGCTATCAGGTCATGTGAGTCTGATTTTCAACCGTTCTCTACTTTAATTGGCCGAGTTATGGTGTGGGCCCGATTTCCTAGTTTTCCAGTGGAATATGTGAACACTGAGCTGATCAAGGAGGTAGGAAATTGGCTTGAAAAATTCATAAAAATGGATGCTGCGACCACTTGCCTAGCGAGAGGTAAATTTGCTAAAATATATGTTGAGTTGGATTTAAGCAAACCATTGCAGGCTGAGTATAAAATTGAGGGGAAATTAAAGAATGTTGAATATGAGGGATTGCATCTTGTCTGTTATGGCTGTGGAAAATACAGACATCGAACATATAATTGTCCCTTGAAAGCTTTCATGGTGCAATCCCAATCTGGGGATGTACATTCAAAGCAAGGAGAAGGAGGAATATCAAACAATAGTTCGAGTATTCCTCCTAACAAAAATGATGAGAGATTTGGGCCTTGGATGCGGGTCACTAAGCAGAGGAGATTCAATAGGAACGGTTCCAACCAGGCTGAGAAGAAAGAAGGTATGTCATCTCTGAGTTATTTAAGAAGAGAGAAAATTGTGGATTCTAGGTTTAGTGCTTTATATCAAATTGAGGAGTCTGAAGGTAACAATATCAATGAGAGGAAGCTGGAAATTGGCAAAGAGCAAGAAATCAGAAATAACCATGGTAATTGGTGCAGAGGTAAGTCTCAAGTCAAAGTTATTGAAACATCTTCGAATTTTATGTTGATTGATGAGAATGCTAGTGAGGAGTGTAAAGGTACTGATAGTGTAGGGTTATATAGAAATGAAGTAACAAAGAAGGTTGTTCAAAATAAAAATTCTAGTCAGCCTAGTCACATGGCAGTGGTTGAACAATATATTCAGAAGGAAGGCATCATAGTAGTTTACCAAGAAGTATGTGGAAGTGAAAAAGGAGAGGTCTCTTCAATCCAAAATAATAGCACATCCTTAACTGCAAGTAATTATCCCCAACAGGGACATCAGAGACTTGAACAGTTAAAGATGCCAGCTCCTAAACCTCTTGATGCTACGTCTGGTAGAAGAAAGAGTCCAGATGGGAAAGGAAATAATGTTGTTATGGCTCGGAATCAACATGATTTAAATCCAGATAGGTAAGTTCAGCAGGTGCAATCTAAACCCGCCCTTTCCCCTAATAAATTTTAATGTCATTGATCTTCTGGAATTGTAGAGGAGCGACTAAGTCCAAATTAGGCCGTACTCTAAAGACTATGGTGGATAAAAACAATGTTTGTGTGGTCATTCTTATGGAGACTAGAACTGGTTGTGTGATAAGTATTAAATTTTTGAAGAGGATTAATTTTGATAAGGTTATTGTTGAGGAAGCCATTGGGTTTGCAAGTGGAATTTGGGTTCTTGGGGACTCTAGGAAAGTTACAGTCCAGCTAATTAGCAGTACTAGTCAGTTTATAGACATGAAGATGAAGTTTGATGATAGTAAGAGTTTCTTATGTACTGCGATTTATGCAAATCCCAATGAGGAGATTAGACACGCTATGTGGAAGGAAGTCATGCAGCTGAGCATGTCCATTAATGAACCTTGGATATTGGGGGGTGACTTCAATGATATAAGGTGCAGTAGTGAGAAGAAAGAAGGATCTAAGCTGGATCTTGCAAAGTGCCATAGGTTCCAACAATTCTTAGATATCTGCAAAGTTGAGGAAGTTGGTGGTTTGGGATCTAAATTTACATGGCAGGGTCCTAAATGGAATAATTTAGATAGGGTCTTTAAGAAGTTGGACAGAGTGTGAGCCAATGTTAATTGGAAAATCTCTTTTGAGGATGCTGAAGTTAGGATTCTCCCTCGAATTTTGTCTGATCATAATCCAATTTTGTTGTCTACTTCAAATCTTGTGAAGCATTGGACTAATAGACCTTTCAGATTTTTGGCCACATGATTAGATCATCCTAGCTTTGATAGTTTTATGGATGACAATTGGATTTCCAATCTTCCAGTCAATAATATGTTTTTGAATCTTATTTCCCCTCTTAAGAAATGGAATATAGAGGATTTTGGTGATATTAATAATCGTAAGAGAGACCTGACTTAAAAAATTGCCAGCATTCAAGATCAAAGAGAGGCAATGGATTGTCACAGGTTGCAGGAAGTTGAGGATTATCTGCAAAGGCAATTAAATATTACTCTTGATCAAGAGGAGTTAATGTGGTATCAGAAGTCTAGGCATAAGTGGCTGATTGATGCGGATAAAAACACAAGGTTTTATCACCTTAAGACTGTCATCCACAGGTTTTATACCAAGATTAATAGGCTTCGCAATAGTACAAATGGTTGGATTAGTGATCCTACTGCATTAAAAACTCATGTTTGTAATTTTTATAAGAATTTGTTTGAGGAAGAGGTGATTGATCGCAGATGGATTATTTCAGAAAATATGTGGCCGACTTTATCATAAGAAGATTTGAAGAAGATGGTTATTCCACCTAGTGACTATAAGATCAAACAAAATATTTATTCAACGGGAGCTTATAAAGCCCCTGAATTTGATGGTTA